CAAATTGAAGCTGAAAGCATAAAGAAGTTTTTCGTAAGAAAAACCAGTGAAAATAGTGTTTCAATTTGGGTTGCCGAAAATAGTCTGTCATGCCGAAGCCGTCATTTCTCCTATAAAATTGATTAAATTTGTAAATACCGATAAATACCGATTTTTTAAAACATTTGATACCGATAAGCTTTAAAACATTCTGGCAACGCTGGACTGATCTGTCTGGGCTCTCTCGACAAAACATTTTCTATTCTTGTCTTTCTCTCATTTGGTCACGAAACATCTGTTGCGTGACGTTTTCCAGAACGAGTTAGTTGTTTCACTTACGTCGGACGACAAGATTGACGGAAACTGTCGACATGGTTATTGCCGAAAAAAGTCTGTCATGTCATTCTTGCATTCTGTCGCGACAAAACTGCTGCTGGTTGTTTTCTAGTAAATGCATGTAGCTTTGCACACGAGACACAACAAGATAGAAGAAATAAATGGAATTGTGTTGTTTTGACGGGATTTCACCTCTGACTCGAAGTAGCTTGAATCTTGGCGCTGAACTTCGTATTTGCAGTGATGGGTATTTTTGGAACGGACACAACTGTAAGCTGCCGAAAATCGATGTCCGGTGCCATTTTGGATTCCAAGATGGCGGCTTCCGGTTTCAGAAAAAGTGGGAAATACTGCCAAATACCCTTCAATATGTATATTTTTGAATTCATGATGACATCTAGAGACCAAAAATCGATGTCCAGTGCCATCTGGAAATCAAAGATGGCGGCTTCCAATTTCAGAAAAAATGGGAAATACTGCCAAATACCCTTCAATATGTATATTTTCGGAATCGGGATGACGTCTAGAGACCAAAAATCGTTATCCAGCGCCATCTTTAAATCCAAGATGGCGGCCTCCGGTTTCAGAAAAAGTGGTAAATACTGCCAAATACCCATCAATATGTATATTTTCGGAATCGGGATGTTGACTAGAGACCGAAAATCGATGTCCAGCGTTATCTGGAAATCAAAGATGGTGGCTGCCGATTTCAGAAAAAGTGGGAAATACTACCAAATACCCTTCAACATGGTTATTTGCGGAATAAGGATGACGTCTAGAGACCGAAAATCGATATCCAGCGCCATCTTGAAATCAAAGATGGTGATTGCTTTTTCAGAAAAAGTGGGAAAACTGTCAAATACTTTACAATATGGATATTTTCGGAACAAAGACGGACGTGCACAAGCCGAAAATTGGAATGCCGAAATGGCGTCAGATTTTGATTTTTTTTTTAAACAGGACTGCCATCTTAGATTCCAAAATTGCGTCGGACATCGATTTTGAGCCTCTACATATCATCCCCATTCAAAATATACCCATATTATGGGGGTATTTAACATTACTATCCAGTTTATCTAGAACCAGAAGCTGCCATCTTGGAATTCAATATGGCATCGGACAGTAATTTATAGTCCATAGTTATCACCACGAATCCCAAAATACCCACATTCATGGGTATTTGACAGTATTTCCAACTTTTCCTGTATCCTGTAGCTGCCATTTTGGATTTCAGGACACTAATTTTCTGTTTCTAAATGTAATTCTCTAGACGTCATTCTTTTTCCAAAAATACTCATATTGAAGGGTATTGGACTGTATTTATATCATTTTCTGAAACCGGAAGCCTGAAACCGGAAAATGGTGTCGGACATTGATATTCGGCATCTAGATGTCGTCTCAAAAAATCCATATTATTGGGTATTTGACAGTTTTTCTGAAGTCACTGGCCACACTATCTTGGATTCAACCTTGATCAGACCTAGATTTTTAGGATACACGCGGAGTACTTGTTCCGAAAATACCCAAATTTGAAAGTTTTTCTGAATCTGAGAGCCGCCATATTGGATTACAAAAAAGTGTCAGACATATATTTTCGGAATTTCAACGTTGAACCCGTTCCGTAAATACACATATTGTAGAGTATATGACAGTTTTTTCAGAATCTGAGAGCCACCATGTTGGATTAAAAAATAGCGTCGGACATCGATTTTCGGTCTCTAGACGTCACCCCGATTCCGAAAATACCCATATTGAAGGGTATTTGGCAGTATTTCCCACTTTTTCTGAAACAGGAAGCCGCCATCTTGGCTTTAAAGATGGCGCTGGACAACGATTTTCAGTCACTGGAGGTCATCCCGATTCCAAAAATATACATATTTAAGGGTATTTGGTAGTATTTTGTTCACTTTTTCTGAAATTGGACGCTTCCATCTTTGATTTCAAGATGGGAATCACTTTCGGTCGCTAGACGTCACCCCGATTCCGAAAATATACATATTGATGGGTATTTGGCAGTATTTCCCACTTTTTCTGAAACCGGAAGCCGACACCTTGGATTTAAAGATGGCGCTGGATATCGATTTTGGTCTCTAGGCATCATCCCGATTCCAAAAATATACATATTGATGGGTATTTTACAGTGTTTTCCGTCTTTTTTTCTGAAATTGTAAACCGCCATCTTGAATTTTAAGATGGCGCTGGATATCGATTTGTGGTCTCTAGAGGTCATCCTGATTCCGAAAATATACATATTGAAGGGTAGGTCAGTATTTCAAACTTTTTTCTGAAATAGGAAATACCAGTATTGTAGGGAATTAACATTATTTCCGGCCTTTTTTTTTTAAATCTGACCTCCGTTTTAGAATGGATGGTTTCTTGTCGTGATGCTCCTTTTAAAATGACCTATAGTACTCTGTCTCAGAGAACAGTATGAGGGACATATGACTAGAATAGATAGTCGCGACTGGATGGATTCTTGATTTTGTCGTGGTGATCTTGTTGTTTGAATAAGAATTTTCCAGGATGACTATTTTTTAATGTATCTTGTCGCGCGTGAATGACAAACGCTACAATTCCCATATCTAGTCGATGCATTGCACGTAATCAGTCGCGGCTTCGGGCAGCTTCAGTCGCTTCAGATTGTACCATGGCGGGCGTCGGTACTGAATGTTGTTGGCAACGGAAAGTTTTTGGCGCACCTTAACCATGAGAAGGTAGTGGTCTAAATCGATGTTTACGCCGCGATAGGTCCTGACGTCGATAATGCCCGAGAAGTGCCTTCCATCGATCAAAATGTGATCGAAAAAAAAAACCCGAATTTATCCACCTATGGTGTGATCAGACCCTTCTTACTTATTCAAGTTTATTTATTTTATTGTCATTATCAGTGACCAAGCCCCCCACCCCCATGTCATCCAGTGACGCTACGCCACTGCCTGGGGGTACCCGGAATATATCCGGGTGTAGTCTATTTGGTGAGGCTACCAATCACCTTATCATCGTATTTTAATGTGATTTAATGGGTTTTAATTCAATTCATATTCAAGCAACTTCCCCGGGGTACCCGAAACATGTCCAAGTGTGTCCAATGTGGTCTGGAACACTTAACACGACTTGAATTGATCTTATTTTTGAATTCTGTAGTAATTTGATGTGTCGCATGATGGTTTTGATACGTTTTCCGTTAAATCCAGCGTGAAGGCCCATATACACCGGATCTTATTCCAGCCATATCTCCGGAACCGGTTCACCGATTCCAAAACCGTTCAATAGCGTTCAATGGGACCCCAAGAGCTATCATTTGGTGCCGACTTTGTCCAAATCGGTTGAGCGGTTGCTGAGAAACGTGAGCGCATTCATTTCGTTACATACACACACACATACACACATACACACATACACACACACACACAGACATGTTCCGATCTCGTCGAGCTGAGTCGAATGGTATATGACACTCGGCCCTCCGGGCCTCGGATCGATAGTCGGTTTTTCAAGTGATATCTATACCCTTCTTTGTAAGAAGGGTAAAAAGAGGCGGCGAAATCGATGAGCCTGAGGCGGTTGGCGTTCGACAGCTGGTTAGCACTGAACTTTCTTATAACCGGTCTGAATTTCTCCTCCTGGCCGACCTGAGCGTTAAGATCTCCGATAAAGATTTTGACGCCATGGCTTGGGCAGGTGTCGTAGTTCCGTTCCAACTGCGCGTAAAAAGCGTCTTTATCTTCATCGTCACTTGCTAAGTGAGGGCTGTACAAGTTGATTATGCTGACATTGAAGACACGGCCTTTGATCCTCAACTTGCACATTCTGCTATCGATGGGCTACCACCCAATCACGCGCTTCTGCATTTCGCCCATAACGATGAAAGCTATACCCAGCTCATGTGTATTGCTGCAGCTCTGGTAGATGGTATAACCATCCCTATACGTATGTACCGATGATCCCTTCCAGCAAACCTCCTGAAGCGCTACAATTTTGAACTTGCGGACCCTCAATAAATCGGAAAGAATGCGGGTAGGTACTTCCCAAAAAATTTAGAGACTTGCAGTTCCATGTTCCGAGTTTAAAATTGTTAGTCCGTTTTCGTTGCCTGGGTTGGCTGTCGGCTGGCTTGTAGGGCCTGCACCATCGTGACTGCTCTCTCACTCAATGGATCTGGGTTCAATCCCAGTCGAGGTCTGTGGGATTTTTCCGAGGCATAAAAATCTCTGGTCACGTCTTCCTTCGGAAGGGAAGTAAAACCATTGGCCCATGTTTGTTGATGGGTATGATATCCTACGCAGGTGTGGAAGCTGCCTCCCAGACAACCAATGTCCGTCGGTGATTGGCACTACACGAAACGAAAATCAATTATTTTATTCATGTGTTTCACTTATACATTTTTGCTAAAACATCAGCCTTATACATTCCATAAGACAAACCATACATTTCATTTGACACATGATCTTCATTAACATTTTGCAAGGTGTCTGCTTATTAGTTGACTTATACATTTTATGAATAATCAGCAAAATAAATTTGACAAAAGGTATAAGGAGATTTCTATCCGTGTAGATTGCGGAACAGAGACGGACGTTAAATAAAGGAATTAAAAAGAAAAAGAAAGATCGATCCCTAAAAAACAACCACCAATCAAAGTAACCAACTGTCAAAATCTACGCAGTTTTTCGTACTTAAATCCAATCTCAACCTTAACATTCCAAGATGTCAGCGGGAAAAATCATCAACGAATCAGTACAGTACGTTCGACCACTGCTTTCCATGAACCACCAGGAAGCTCACCGGAAGGTTCTCAAACTCTACAAAACTTGGTACCGCCAGCTGCCTCAAACCGTCTACGAATGCGATATCCCAAAATCACTGGAACAATGCCGTCAAAAGCTACGCGAGGAATTCCTCAAGCACCGGAACGTTACCGATCTGAGAGTAATCGACATGCTGGTCATCAAAGGACAGATGGAACTCAAGGAAACCTCCGCAAAATGGAAGCAGAAAAGCCATCTCATGCGATACTGGAAGGATACGCAAGTGCCGAAAGCGCAGGATTTTCTTTCCAAATTCTACACAGGACACGACTGAACCGCATATTAATCCAACGCTTTATTCGTCATAACGTTATAAATACAAACCATTCAACTCGGGAATGTAGTTGTCAAATAAATCTTCATCTATAAATTGTAAATAAGGGATTTTCATTGTTTTTCGTTTGTTATTTGTTATGGTTTTGTAACTTTTTTTTTTCCTCTTCCTTCTTGCGTCATGTTCTAACATAAATTAGTCAACATCTTACGGGGTAGGTAAACTGCACAAATAAGAATACTTAAATGGTGATGCTAATTGTTGTGCAGGAATCGCTTTAGTTCCTCCTGGGTGTCGAAGATCAGCACCGGAAACGGTGATCCCGGAACCAATTCGCCGGCCCACTTGACCTCCACTCGATAGTCTCCCGGTTCGGTGGGATCGTACTGAAAAGGATTGATCATTACATTTTGAAGGGCCGGAATATGCGACAACCTACCTTGCAAAGAATAGTTCTATCCTTCTGGCTCTCCCGCTGCATCTCAACTCGGAATGCCCCCTTGGGTCCGCGTACGCGAACCGTCAGCTGTCCGGCACCGGCTCCTCGCGTATCAACGATAAACCGCGACTGGAACGTCGCAAGCACACCATGCTCGATTCCTGGTCCGTAGACGCGAACCTTACTAGCATCGGGAGCTCCCGCTACACGGAGCGTGAACGGTGATCCGGGAACGTGTTGACCTCCGTACTTGATCGTGAGTGTATGTCTTCCCGGTTCCTGAGGCTTGACGTTCAAGGTGAACGTAGCGTCTCCATGATCGTACAGTTCGCAGTAAGCGACCTTCCGAGGACCGGCACAGTGAGCGGTCAGCTCTCCTGGTCCGGCACGTCTCGTGTCGATCCAGGATTTGATGTCTCGACCAACAACACCGTTGCGAAGTCCTTCGCCAGAGCATAGAACCTTGGCAGCATCTACTGCTGGACCCACGGATATGGTCAGAGGACAACCCTTGATCAATCGACCGTTCCACTCGACGGAGAGGCTCAGCGGTCCTCCGGTGGATTTGTGTGGATTGAACGAAGCTAGCCAGATTAGTTCATTTGGTCTTGGTTGCAAAAGCGTGACCGGTAGGTTTTCTCCATCTTCGAACTCCATGTGAACTTCTGGTTTTCCGGACAACGCTTCTGAGGCGTCGATTGTGAAGTGAGAAATTTCACCTACTTGTCCAGAAGTTAGACCTCTTCCGGTAAGAACAACCTTATCGGCGGCGGATGAGTTGCCTGTGACGAACACGTATCCAGGACTCTGTGAGATTGGCAGTCCAGACCAGGTTAAGTCGAAGCTATGTTCTCCCTTGGATAGTTCTTCATCGGACAGGTAGAGCAGACAGCGTCCATTGCCTTGTTTCTCAACAATGATCTCAGTACTGTCCACATAGCAGGTCAATTCTCCAGGTCCAGCCATACTAGTGTCGAAGGCAATCTTGACTGGCAGCAGCAGTTTTCCATTAGTATCCAACAAGCTTCCCCAACCTCCGATTGGAGTGACCTTCACTGGATCCAGACACGAAATGGTCCATGGTGATCCCGGTAGAGGGCCTCGATTGGTACAGCTGGCCCTGATTTCATACTCTCCAACCGTCAGAATTGTGTAGAAAATCTTCCATTCGTTGTTACCCAAGTTCTTGATCTTGGGCTCGATTCGCTCAGCTTGTTCGTCACATCGTTCGATCTGGACGTTTGGCATCGAAGGGCAAAACACTACAAAGGACGTCTCCTTGCCACGGTGAGCAACTTCCAGTCCATTCCCGGAAGCGTGGCTATCCGTTTTATTTCCGACAGCTTGGACGGCAAACGTGATCGGTGATCCTGGGACGCTCTCTCCTCCATACATGACGGTGACTTTGTAGTGACCGGCACTCAACGGCAAGAACTCGACCTGGTGAACGTAATCTTCCTGTTGGGTCAGCTCTACGGGGACATTCTGTCCCGTAGGGGATAGAACGGTGACTTCGATCTCTGCCACGCCTGCCGACTCGGACTCCACTGTAAGAATTGTTTGGAAATTAGAATCTTCAGTTCAAGTTAATTGAAGCAGAAAACTTACCATTCCAGGTAATCGGTGAATTGGTACAAAGGTTCATTTTGGGCACTTTCTGCAGATGAATCTTGGAAGGATCATACGACTCACAGGTGTATGGACTTCCCGGCAAAGGTTTCGATTGATGAAGAACGTCTGTTGATAAACATACCAGATGAGTTTTCGAATGATTTGGGGAAATTACCGGACTTACCAATCAAGCATTGCCCAACCTTCTGCACGGTGAATTCCGCCTGCAGATGGCCACCCTTGGTCTGGTAGCAGCGCACCGGCAGAGCTTGACCTCCCGGGCCGGAAACGACCACATCAAACTCCCGTGCCAGATGACCAACGGTGTCGATGGCGAACGAGGTCGTCTTGGTTACGCGAGCCTGGTACAGTCCCAAACCGTTGACGGTGATCTGAAGTAGGTAATAGGTGTAAAATATCTCATAATCAACAATTGTGCCAGAAATTATACCTCCTTCGTCATTGCAGGAGCCAAGACGTTGATCTCGATAGGCTTACTGGCGATCGGGACCTGGTTGTACAGGATCATGATCTTGTGTGGAGCAACTCGCGTTGGATGGTATACAATCTCCCAGGTACCGTTTTTGGTGGGTCCTCGAATTGAATGTGGCACTTCCAGGCCTCCACAACGAACCACGGAAGTCAGTGTACCCTGACCGGCATCCAGTATTGACACCGCCAGGGAAGCCGGCTTATGGCAGTAAGCTTCTCCAACCTCGACGATTTTAACCATGCAGGGATCGAATACATTGATCGTCCTAGCAGCGATGAACGACCGTGTTTCCTGATCGATGTACCGAATGATGTAGCTTCCAATTTTAGTCGCTTTGAATTCGGCGGATTTCCGGGACAGTGTGAATGGCACCATCTTATTTTCTGGGTCGTAGATCTCCACGGTCTGTTCCTCACCGACCAGCTCAATGAACGTAATGTTGCCAATCTGTACGTTTTGCGTATTTTGCTGAACTTCACAACGGAAAGGACTTCCATCCACCGGAAGATCGTTGAACGTGATGTTAACAAAGTGAGGTTCACAGGTCTGCGGTACAAATGTAACGTCGTACAAACCTCTTGCGCAAGCAGTAACTTCGGCTTTCACGGTACTGGTTGCCGTGGAAACGACCAGTTCCAGCGTTCCTTCACCGGCTCCGGCAGCATCAACGCTGAAGGTCAACGGAACTCCCAGTGAGGCCATAGTGTTGTGGGGATCGAGTCCACTGATGGCAACCCGGGAAACGTCAAAGACGTTGCAAGAAAATGGCGATCCATTGATGTGCTGATCGTTCGCTGTAACACTGATCAAGTGTCTACCGACCGAGGTCGGAACAAACGAAACATAGTGGATATCGTCTCGGAAGGACACTCTGCAGGAGACAGTATCAGCCGAAGGGGAAGTAATCAACACCTGAGGATCGATACCATCGAAACCTTCCAGCTCGAAAATGTTCTCGCATTTAACCGGAGCCTGTCTCAAACACTCTCCGGTTGCGATCGCCTTGGAAAGCGAAACTGGAGCATGCGTAACATGACAAGCAAACGGAGATCCTGGAACTGGATAACCATTGAACCTCACCGACAACGAGTGTGTGGCAGCTTCCGTTGGTTTAAAATTTACTTTGAATCGTGCATTTCCCTCGGATTGGACGAAGTTCGGTACGTTCTTTCCTCCGACTGCGACAATGATCTCCAAATTTCCCGCTCCAGCTTGGCTAGCATTGATCCCGAAGCTGACGCTCTTTCCGACGACACCAGGTCTAATATCCGTCACGACCACCTTTTCAGCTGAGTAAGCCTTCAACAGAAACGGACTTCCTTCAACGTGGCCACTACCGGGCAGACGAACCTCAACCGAATGATCGCCGACCTCGATCGGTTCAAATTTGACGCGATATGCTCCCGAAACCGGAATCACATCCGCACGAACTGCTCTTCTGGCTGGTCCCAAAACTTCCACGACCGGTGAGATGTCCGACTCCACCAGAAAATCGAACACGTGCCCTACGCTTACCTTGTCCATCAGATCACTGGTGACGATCCGTGCTGCTGGCGATACCTACGATTGAATAAAAAAGTATCTGTTATGCTCCACTCAATCGAGCAATTACCGCGCTCAATCATTACCTTGCAAGTGAACGGGCTTCCCGGTACGTCCTGCCCGTTGAAGCGCAACTCCACGGTATGATTCTGAGCCTCCCGTGGAGTGAAGCTGATCGCGTACGTATGCTGACCTTGAGCTTGAGCCGATGTTGGTACCCGTCCTCCGTTGACCGTAACCTCCAAATTGCCCGGACCCGCTTGGGATGTCTCAACTGTGAAATCAGGGTGCGAATGTTAGTCGTGTGACAATCGAGGGGTGATACTAGGCTAGGACTTACCCAAGAAGACGACAGGCTTTCCCACGGTGCCATTGTTGACGTTCTTCACCTTGATCGCCGTTACGTCGTAGACCTTCACCGTGGTGGCACGTTTCCGCATTTCGGTTGTGATGATCCGCGTCCGAACGATTGTTTTGATGTTGCAACGAGCGGTGCGTTGGAAGAAATGAAAGACGCGAAGAACAAAGTGTACAAAATTATTAGCTTGAGAGTGAGGGGAGTACATACAGCTCTCGGGTGTCAAGTGTTGGGGCCCCGATGGTGAGTACGTCACCTATGGTGCGGTGGCAATTAACGGTAATTATAATGTGGTTTCGCGTGCCCGACTGGGCAGGGTTGTAGCTAATTAGCAGTTGTGCACCAGCAAAGCGAAATGCATTTCAAGTCACATGGATTGTACCCCAGTAAAGCCACGAAAACCACAATACGGTCGTCAACCAAAAAAACACCAACCATCACTTCCGTTAGCGGTGGAAGCCTTCGAATTTGAATTCTAACTTGAATTGACTGGAATCAACGAATGGCACGTTCTCGCTGCTGATGAACCGTTTTTCAACAACTCCCACACTGGCATTGTTCCGGTGCAGCTTGAAGAAATCATATGCAAAGATGGCAAATGGTGTTGAAGTGAGAAAGCACTTGTTCTACATTCGAAGGCGTGGTTGCACCGTCCAAGCTGGCTAATTAGTATGCCGTCCACGGCCACGAATGCCAAGCATTCCATGTGGGATTTATTGACGTGGACAGGTGGAACCTGATGGACGCTTTGATCGATGGTAGGTTGACATTGAAGTACTGGACGGAGCTGTTGTATATTCACGGGTATGTAGTGAAAAAGTGTCAGTCGCTTTCTGTTAAATTGCCTAATTTGCATCACAGCAGATTTTGACCTTCATAAATAAGTACCCAGAACATGGTCGTGTGTGGCAAATATCATAAAAATCTACAACTTTTCTATTAGACGGCACCCCCCCCCTCCATTTGTAACAAAACGTATCACGAAAAGCATCCCCTCAAATTACACTAGTTTACAAAACAACATTAAAAGTGTGAACTTTAGTGGTTGACCAACGTTTCTAATGCAAAATCCTACGCTGAATTCAATGCCGTGGTCAGAAAAAATAAAAGTAGAGCCATTTTTGAGATATAAAAAAAAATTTGATTTTTTGAATTTTGGACAAAAGTACTATTACTAAAATGTCAATATCTTTAGAACTAGTGCACCAATTTTAAATCTTTTTTTATGAAAATGAAGCTAAATAAATTTGCTATCCTTCACTTGAATATTATGTTTTAATTAAAAATTTAATTTTGAAGTCATTTAAAAATTTAAAGCATTTTTTTTATTTTTCCTGCGAATTTTCCATTAAAATCTTGTTTTAATCAACATTTTTAATAGGATAAAAAGATTCAAAAAATCATTCCATAATTTATTCTTAAAGTCCATTAAAAACTGGAGAAAATGAGCCTTTAATGGATAAAATCGGTTGGAAATTGTCGAAGTTATGAATTTTTTTGTAAAATCATGGAAATTGAATGTTCCAAGATTGGCCGTTGTCCCGCTCCTAGGTTCATGCACCACTTCCAGTAAGCCTTTCTGCGGACGTGTACGCATACGGTGCATTTCACTAACACTACCAGCTGTCACGCAAAATTAAATGGGATATTTTCAACAATATAATTTACGCTAGTGTTTGTGAGACCGCTCGGCGAGAACCTAACGCAACACGCAACCAACTCAATTTGACAGCTTTCTTTCTTTAACATTGCTTAACGATGTAATCTCAAAAGTTTTGTTACGCGTGTGGCAACTACATATTTACAAAATCGGTCAATTTCACTGCTTCGTTGCAAACTGCATACAGGCTTTATTTTAAAATTGATCCTGGAGACTTTGACGAACCGTGGATTCCAAAAGTATTATGTAGTTCGTGCAAAACGTGCTTGGCTAGGTGGATGTCAGGCGCAAGGTAAATTGATTTTTTGAATAACTTTCATATAAACAATTTATGTACAGCATGGTAGTGCTTTGTTCTTTCCTGATCGACATTATCTTACTTCATCTATTTTTGATAAGTGTTAATGTCTTACTTACTAACTCACTTATTTGTTATCTGTCAGTCGCTATTTGTCCTTTGACATGCCCACCATATGGCGTCGACCGTTTTGTCATGCAACGGATTGTTATTTCTGCTTGACTAAAGTTAAGCAACAAGAACGTCACAAAACAGTTGAGTATCCACAAGTGGCTTCTATGACAAAACCTGTTCCACATCCCGTATCCTGTTTATCCAAAGCGGAAACGAGCGCCCTCTGTTGAATCGACCGTTACAAAAAGTGAGGAGGAATTCAAGGAGGAATGCGAGGAAAACTTCGAGGTGGAATTGGAAAGAAACCCAAAACTGTTTACACAATCCGAATTTAATGATTTGGTGCGAGATCTCGACTTATCGAAGGAGAAATCCGAATTGCTGGCATCACGCTTGAAAGAACACAACATGCTGAGCAAGGAGGTCAAAATTTCTTGTCACAGGAATCGTCACAAGAAATTTGACAAATATTATTCTACAAAGGACAAGGCATGTTTTGGTTGTTGGTTTCTGATTCGAGAAACAAGTTCAAAACATCGAAGACAAAGTCATTCGATTCTCAATCATTTTCAATAAAACCTAAATAAATTTCTTTTGTATCAACTCGGTTTTAAATCCTGATATGCCTTAATCAAATTGATATGTAGAGAAAAGAATCTCCCATGAAAACTTTACATGCGATTTGGATGCTTACAACCACACCTAGAAAAGGAACTCTAAAGCTGTTGTATTTCAGCAACATTTTTAAGTGTTTTACAAAAATTCTCATAACTTCGACAATTTCCAACCGATTTCATCCATTAAAGGCTCATTTTCTCCGGTTTTGAATGGACTTTAAGAATAAATTATGGAATGATTTTTTGAATCATTTTATCTCATTAAAAATGTTGATTAAAACAAGATTTTTATGGAAAATTCGCAGGAAAAATAAAAAAAAAAAATGCTGTAAATTTTTAAATGACTTCAAAATTAAATTTTTAATTAAGACATAATATTCTAGTGAACGATAGCAAATTTATTTTGCTTCATTTTTATAAAAAAAAAAAGATTTAAAATTAGTGCACTAGTTCCAAAGATATTGACATTTTAGTAATCGTACTTTTGTCCAATATTCAAAAAATCAAAATTTTTGTATATCTCAAAAATGCCTCTACTTTAATTTTTTCTGACCACGGCATTGAATTCAACGTATTTTGCATTGGAAATGATCATCACCTTACCGAGTTCAAAAATGCTGTAAACTAGTGATATTAGTTTATAGCCCCCTCCCCTTTCATTTAATGAAATCCAGATTTGCCAATTATTGATTTCTTTGAAAATAACTTAAAGAAGATGACGACTGGGACTTGAGGGGAATTGGTAACCAAAAAAACTCGAAACTACGTAATCTATCTGAACAAATTTGCCCGATGCGGCAGCCTTCCGTCCAGTCAAGATGTTAAGTTAGGGCAAACAATTCAAAATTAATGATACATGAGCGCCTCCTGGTGATTTAATTTTGTTTTGAACTTTTACCACAACATAGGTCTTGTTCATCTGAACAACTTTGCTGAAGACGGAAGCCTTCTATCTAGTCCATCTGAGGGCAAACGATACCAAATGAATGTCACACTAGCGCTACCTGCTGGATTAACTCTGAGCTGAACTCTTTACCATAATATAGGTGTTGTCCATCTGATCGACTTTACCCAAGACGGAAACCTTCTATCTAGTCCATATGTTAAGTTAAACTCTCTAGTGAGGAACAACGAAGACTGGATGGAGAAAAAATACAATTTCAGTTGACTTTTTCAAATATTTGACCCTGGGCGTAATTCATGGCAATTTGGTGGTGCAGTTCTCGGTCCAGTATCGATTGTTTTTATATAGATGGTTCAAAATTGAACACTTGATTGTGAGAAGTAACTGGCCCTAGGAGAGACATATTGGTTTCTGCGGGTACATGGCCAACTGTGTTTCAAGCTGAAATCAAAGCAATTTTAGAGTACCGTAAAACGGGGTAACATTGATAGTTTTTTAAAGTATATTCTAAATATTTTTAACAGCAGTTTTTCAAATTTTATATGTTTAAAACAAGTACTGAGGATCCAAGAATTAATTCGTTGGTAATATGTTGAACGAAAATTAAAGCATTTGCACTATATTTTTTTAGTTTTGTGACCGAACTTCAGTATTTTGAATTTGGGTTACTTTGATAATGCTAGATGAATGTAGAAAAATATGAGTGAAACTCAAACAATTTAGTTCTTTAAATATGAAACCTTGAATGAGTATATAATCAGAAAACTTTATAAGCATTAAGAAAACAACATTAAATTTTTGATGGCTATATTGGAAATACATTTCATAAATGATGGTGTGAGTGCTTTTTCAAACAAGCGAAAAACACGAAAATTGTTTTTTGAATATGTTTGTAAAATATGTAACACATACTATATAAAAACTATATACGATATCAACGGAAATACCCTAAGCTACAATATGGAACCAATGTTTCTAATTTGGAAAAAGCGCAGCGAGTAAATTTAATCTTTATATTATACTATCAAAGTCACCCGCATAATCAAAGATACCTCGTTTTACGGTAACTATAAGAGTTTAAATACATGCATCATGCAGGACAGTCCAGCTGATTTAAATGCTTTAAAGTCGGTGACATGTATATCAAAACTTGTCTGGGAGTGTGTTCAATCACTTCAAAAATTGCCTTGTCATAAGCAAGTCAACCTATATTGAGTTCCTGGTCATTGAGGGATTGACAGAAATAAAAGAGCTGATGCACTAGAAAGACTCGGATCTTCTCATAAGTTCATAGGACCAGAGCTCTTTTGTGGCTTATCGGCTGCATCTCTAAAAAATGGAGCTAAAAGCGTGGGAATCTTCAGAAGGCTGCTAGGCAGTCGAAGTGATTCCATAATCCACAAAATCCTGCAACATTTCAAGAAATACTTTAGTGTATATACAGGTCTTATAACAGGTCATT